GTACAAAGCTTGAGACAACCAATACAAAGTTCAAAGCGCGAGCGGACAAGAAAAAGCGACTCAAGGTATTCAATGAAGGAGACATGGTGATGGTTTATTTACGGAAGAAACGGCTACAGGCTGGAACATACAGCAAGCTTAAGTCGAAACGTTATGGGCTGTTCAAGATTCTCAAGAAAATCAATGATAATGCATATGTAGTAGATCTTCCAGAATGAATGGCTATGTCGGTGACATTTAACGTGGCGGATATTTCTGACTATCATCCTTCAATCAAGTTGTATACAAGTGATGAGAACTCGGAGATGAGTTTTTCCAAAGAAGGAGGGACTAATGCAGGAGATTAAGTATTGGACGAACCGAGAAGAAAAGTAGCCGAGTCGACTGAACAGATAGACGAGACTTAAACCAGACAAGACGACAACAACACAGACGAGTCGAGATGACGACAGGACCAGTCGACACAACCCAGCCGAGACGAGCAGATGACTCGAAGCAACAGGACGAGACGATAGGCGACATGACGAGTCGTCACATGCCAGTCGACACGAAAGACGAGACGACTCAACAAGCTTAGTCGACTCAGGTCCAATCGACACGAAAGGCGGGACGACTCGACAAGCTTAGTCCAACTCGACAAATTTTTGATTTTTAAAATTTGAAATTTGAATTTTGAATTTTTTATTTTTTATTTTGAATTTTGAAATTTAGTTAAGTGATTTGAGGGATTGTTGTTTTGTTTCTATTTTTTATTGCATATTGTATGCACGTAGTTTTTCTTTATAAATAATGTTGTATGAGACTATTAAAAGGCAATAAATTATTGAATGAAGAAATATTTGTTAACTAAATTTTGATGTGAAGCCTTGGGTGTGAAACCCTAGGCTTCGGGTATGAAACCCTAGGTCAAATTGTTCTCCTCTGTCACAAACAGCCGACAAACCTTCTTTCTCCTCATACACAGCAGCCAAATTTCTTCTCTCCCCCACGTCAATTGTTCACCATTGTTTTTCTTTTCAAGTTTGAGAAACCTAGGGCTTGTGGATTCAAGCTTGTTTTCTACCTGTTATTGTTAGGGTTCGTAGGCATCGAAACGATATCCGATCGGCCTTCCTCGTTTCTAAGTCTGCGTTAGTATGCAATACTGAAGAGGTTGTAGCTTCACCAGACTCTCCGTCAGACCTCCTCACTGAGAACCGATCACAAACATCATTGAACTTCAACTTGTTGCTTTCCGATGAGCTACTCACAGCCATGTGTAAGCAATAAAAATTGCATTTAATCAAGGAGGTCAAACCTCTCCTGATTGACCCCGCATGCCCATGTTTTGAGCTCGCATGCATGCTCAAGATCACAAAAGCAAGCTAGTTTAGCTAGCTTGCCTGCATTCAAGAGGCCAAGCAGAGCTCGCCTGCATTCAATAGACCAAGCAGAGCTTGCCAGCAAACTTGACTTGCCAGCACAAGTCAAGCTCACCTGCATTTAAGAGACCACGCTTTGCTCGCCTGTAAGCTTGACTCGCCAACACCCTTTGCTCGCCTGCACGAGCCAAAGTTTGTCAACATGGCTTGACTCGCCCGCACGAGTCAAGTTCGCTTGATTGCTTGACTCGTCCGCACGAGTCAAGCTCGTCTGATTTCTCGACTCGCTCGCACGAGTCGAGCTCACCTGAAAACTACACTCACCCGCACAAGTCAAGCTCGCTTATAGGAAGTTCGCCCGCACGAACTAAGTTTGTCAACAGGATCTGCTCACACGCTTAAGGGATCCGCCAGTCAATCCCGCCTGTTCGCCAAGCTCGCCTGCAAACTCGCCTGTAAACTCGCCTGAGCATTCATACAGCACTAGAGCTCGCCTGTAAGCCTGTCAGCCTCGCCTGAGCGGAGCAAGCAGCTGCTTGCTTATGGGAGTGGGCAAACTCACGTCCCACGTTCTAAGTGATGGAGCATGGCTTTCATCCCTCCCAAGTGGTCACATCCCACAGCTATAGGAGAAGGTATGGTGCTCCTCACCTGTGAGCGGTCACATCCCACAAGTCAAGGGATTGACCATGCTTTTCTTTGCCTATTTATAAGCCACCTTTGGCAACATGAAGGGGGGCTTGGTAGGCTTGATCGGCTTAGCATCTTGAGAGCTTGGCTGGATATTCTTAAGCATAAGCTTGGATTGTTAAAGTAGACTCAATCTGAACTCTCGGATTCGAGACTCTTGGCTCTTTGCAAACTCTTGCATATTAGCTTTCTCCAAGCATTCGGTTTTGACATTCATCAACCTCAGGTAATCGAACTCAATCACACAAAGAGCTCCTACTACGTACTGAAGCTCAATCACAGTTTCGATTGGATCGTCCAAGGGAAACAAGCTCGACGCAAGCATTCGAGTGAGACGTCCTATCGCTATGGAAGAATCCACGTTAAACAAGAAGAGCATTCTCTTCGTTTTTGTTGTAATTGTTGATCCTTAGTTTGTAATAAATCATTCTTATCAATACAAACAATCTCTCTTCGGGAGTCAATTTTTACGCTCTATATCGTGACTGTAGCGTTTTAGCTTTCTGGTAGGGAAGACAAAAGGATCAACGCTCAAACTTCCTCATCAAACTCAATTTCAACTGAACTCAATTGAGTTGTGACCGTGTTGAGTTCATTGAGGTGATGTGCTACTGACGCTCCTTCCGCTATTCTCAGATTGAATAACTGTCTCATCAAATGAACTTTATTTACGGCTGATGGTTTCTCATACATATTTGAGAGTGCTGCCATAAAACCCGTCATGGTTTTTTCATTCACTATGTTGAACGCAACATTACGAGTTATTGTCAATCTAATAACTCCGAGGGCTTGTCTGTCTAGAAGGTTCCATTCGTCTTCCTTCATAGACTCCGGCTTCTTCTCTGAAAGGGGTTGATATAGATTCTTTTGGTACAAATAATCCTCTATCTGCATCTTCTAAAATCCGAAATATGTTCCATCAAACTTCTCTAATCTCACATTTCTTTCATCTGCGACCATTGCTCCCACTTGAATCTGACTTCCTCTAAATCGTTTCAGGCTCTCTGATACCAGTTATTGGGAATAACCGGGGGCCGGGGCTACGTTAAACCCCTAAAACAGCAACAAACGCGGTATAGAGAAAAATACACCAAATTTTACGAGGTTCGGCAAACTTACCTACGTCCTCGGGAGCCACACAATTATTTTTTTATTAATCAAAGAAATTACAATACAAGAGCAGATCTTAAACTTAAGATCTCTCAATAAATACAAAGATTGTTACTGTAGCTATAGTAATAACTCTTCTTTAATTCCCCTCTTCTTTAATTCCCTTCCCTCCCAACAATCGTGAGTACGGTAGAAAAAAGAGAAGAGCAGATGAGAAAAACGTCATCGCCAAGAGCTGGGAGAAAATCACAAGAAGAAGCTGATTTCTTCTCGTGACTAGGGTTCCCTTTTATAAGGTTATAAGGGAACCCTAGTTACGAGACGACAGCATGTAACAGGCTGTCATTTGTCTTCTTCTGCGAGCTCGCCTGCTAGCGCTCGAGCTCGCCTGAAGCACGCCCGCACTTGACCTCGCATGAAGCACAAGCGTTCGAGCTCGCCTGGATCTCGCCCGACCTCGAGCTCGCCTGCAGCGTTCGACCTCGAGCTCGTCTGAACTGCTTCGTCGACCTTGCCTGAAGCTCGTCGCCTGCAGTTCGACCTCGCCTGAAGCTTCTCGAGCTTGCCTGACCTCCTCTTCAAGCTTGCCTGAGGAGCTCGCCTGAAGCTCCTCGCCTGTGAAGGTTTAGGCTACACCCAACACTAACACTAGAAACCCTAAAAACATATCAAGGTATATATAGTATCCTAGCCCAAAATAGTTTTTCAAATCAATTAGGAAATTAGAAATCTCGACGTCGGTCGACCGGTGCATTGGCATCGATCGACCGACCAGAGCGTCTATTTCTTACAGTCTACTCGTGCATGTTATCGGTTGACTGGCTCAGTTCCATCGGTCGATCGACTCGAAACTCCTGTAAGTTTCTTAGGTTCGCGTCGGTCGACCGCTGAGCTTGTGTCGATCGACCGACCAAAGCGAACTTCCTGGGCTCATTTCCTACAGGTTTTTCGGTCGACCGATCCAAGCCTGTCGATCGACTGGAGCTAGATTTTTTAGCTTTATTGTTGATTTCATTTCAGGTTTCGATCTTCATACTTTCAAAACTAACAATCTCCCACTTGGAGACGAAACCACCATCAATGAGCTCTCCCGAACTCCCGCCTTCTTCGCAAGCATCTTCTCCTACCCGAAAAAATTCATTCTTCAATCATCATCACCTTGGCGATCCCGTCTATCCTCCTAGTGTGGCTTCGCCTTCATCTCCTACGCATGAAGGCTAACTGAAGTTGCGCACAACTCCAGTTTGTCGATGATCACTGCTTTCGTCAAAATATCCGCAGGATTTTGGCTCCCAAAAATCTTCTCCAACTGAAGTTGTACTCATTCAGCTAGCGTATGAAGTGGTAACGTACATCGATGTGCTTCGTTCTTGGCAATGTGTATAGCACTCCGACTATCATACTAAAGAACGCCGCCCTCCTGCTTCAAACTCAACTCTTCCAGGCACCCGATCAACCAAATCATCTCCTTGCTGGCTTCAGTCACTGCGACATACTCTGCATTAGTCGTGGACAATGTTACTATCTTCTACAGACGTGAGACCCAGCTCACTGTTGCCGACGCCAATGTATAAACTTACCCCGTGGTACTTCGTCTCGTATCATGATCACCGAAGAAATCTGCATCCACGTATCCCCGCGGCACCAATTCTTTCCTCCTAAAACACAATGGCATATCCGTAGTCCCTCTCAAGTAACGCAATATTCATTTCTTGCTAAGTAACAGACCTGAAGTGAGTTTGAAGAACAGTGCCCAATCACTAAAGTTCTCCTTAATTTCTTTATAATTTCTTTTGTTCTTCCTCAAACTTTTGTTGCTTGCTGTGGTCTTGGTATCAGACACATTGTTCACATGGGCAGATTTGCAAGCAAAGTTAAATGGTGAATTGTTTATGAAACAACTTGGCAAACTCTATCCCTCATGTTTTGAGCTTCACTGAAAACCAGAAGGTGTGTATATAGTATCTGTTTTATTGCTTGATTCACATTCATATAATATATCATATGATTCAGAATATTGACCACTAGATTCATTTGACTTTCATCTATATTTGATTCAATGGAGCATTAAATAGGTCGTCTTATCTGTGCAGCGAATTGAAAAATGTTCGCAATGCCGTATCATATCTGAATCTGTATATGTTTCTTCTTCTTTTAGAACTTCCACTGATAAGTTAGTGAAATGAGATCTCTGGGCATCCATGCTGTCATTGCACTGGAGAAATTTGTTATCCTGACAGTTTTTATGTATACCTTTTCTTTCAAGAATACTTGTTTCTTATGTACACAACCACGTGCTTATAACACTATTGGAGCTTTCAACACTGTGCATATTTCTTTTCTCTATCTAACACATATAATTTCATGTTTATGTTACATGCTTAGTAAAATTGTGGTAGCTGATATTTTGTGCAGCGTCAGTAATATCTAGTGGTTACTTCTTATCCTATTCTGTTGCAGGATTGGACTATGAGTTCATCATTCCTGATGCTTAGAATGCAGAATCACATCAGTTAACAAAGACTTTAGCTGAGACGGTTGGAAATCTGGTGGATCAATGTAGGCCGTGGAGAAGGTAATTCAACGTTCAGGGTTCAATTTGATATTTGAAGCATAACTAATTTTCATCATCACATTGTAAATCGATATATTCATCTACATGACAGGTTAAACTAAAAGAAGGGTTTAAAGACTGCTGTGAGCATATCGAGTGCAGGGAACGCATATTCGCGAGCAAGTCCTTTGATACCTCCTCCTCTTTCTGTTAAACAAAGTTGTATTATGACCTCGATCCTTTTGATGTGTAATATAGGAAAACCAATTTTGGAATTATAAAGACAATTGATCTTCATGCTCCATTGTTATAAAGACTTCAGCTGAACTTGTGTATCTTCTAGCGACTTTGTCAGAACCTTTCATGCATTCCTTTGCTGGTCAAGTTAGTATTTTACCACCACCTTCTTTTATTGCTGTTTAAACATATATAGTTTCATATTCAACCAACTGTAAGATGTTTAACTTTTTCTTATGTTTTGTATTTATTAGGTGCTGAAGCGGCTTAATTACCTCCTGAAACACACCTCACACTATGTGATGAGAAAGGAGATATTGATAAAGGTAAGAAGACCTTGGGAGTTTTTACCTTCTGGCCATAAAATAGGGAAACCTGAGCCATTATTCAAAGAAATGGTAATTATTATTTCATCGTTCTGAATTTATTTTGCTTTATTGTTGTAATGTTATTTGGCTAAGTTACCAGATTGGTATTAAAGTAGTACCCAATTATCAAATTGGTATTAAATTTATCTCCGGCAACAACTACGTATTTAAACTTGCACGATGAGACAAATAGGTCCAAAAATAAATTTTCCAGCCATTTTTCCAGTGACCACTCAGGTAATTTGCCACATGTGCTTAGGTGGAATATTTATGATGACATCATAATTGTAGTTAACTTCATTCAACCCATTAGAAGGAGGGATTTTCAAATTAGAGTAAAAGAAAAGATAGTTTTCTTTGGGGACTTCTTGTCCTTCTTCCTTCAAATTGGGGTTCTTCACTGCTTGAGCTCGAAGAATCCATGTTCTGCAGCAATGGAGGACCCCCATTTTAATAGAAGAAGGAGAAGAAACCCCCAAATTGAAAACTCTCTCTTTTCTTTTACACAAATTTATTAAAATATCCTCCTCTAATGGCTTTGAATGAGACTAACTATAGCTGCCACGTCATCATAGTTATGCCACATAAGCATCAAGTAACAAATTATATGAGTGGTTGCTGGAAAAGTTGGCCGGAAAGTTTATTTTTGGACCTATTTGTCTCATCGTGTAAGTTTGAATGCCTTATTGTCACGTGAGATGATTTTAATATCAATCTAGTCATTGAGTACTATTTTTAATACCAATATGGTAATTTAGCCAATGTTATTTCAAGGAAATTTCTTCCTTCCTCTTTGTCTAAAAATCTTGCTTTACTCTGCTATAACTATTTTTGTACAGAGAGAGGAAGATGTACAAAATTTTCCATGCAGAAATTTAACAGTAGTCAATCTGACAGAAATAAGAAAGCAAAAACTAAGGCAGAAAAGATCCTTAAGCAACCCCAGACCATAAGGGGCTGTTTGGTTGTTGTTGGTAAAGTTATGTATTTATGACACAACTTGGAAAGTTGTTGTCCACCTCATCAATTTCACTTTTATACTTTTCTTTGTTTGTTTTTTATTCCATTGGAATCATAAAACACTTGTTTGGTTTACAAAATAAAACTTTAATTGTTTGTTTGGAAAGTGTAAAAAGTGATCCCTACTCAAATGATCATATTGGTTGGAATTATTTTTTATTAATTTTTCCTAACTTCAATATTAGCTTTCTCCTAAAATCATGTTTTTTTTTTCATGAAATCACTTTACAAGCCACATCAGCATATGAAATCACTTTACACTATTTTCACAACTACAAACAAACAATTGAAAGTGATGAAAGCTAACATTGGGACCCACTTTTTTACACTTTACATCCTTTTACATGGTAAAGGGACCCACTTTTTTACACTTTACATCCTTTTACATGGTAAAAACATACAACCAAACAGCCCCTAAAGATCTCAAGTACATATTGTGTATGACCCCGGTGTAGTGAATAGTTGTGGACAAATTTATATCACCCCTACTATTGGAAAAGAAACTGGGGGTAATTGATTCTGAATCAAATAGGTGACACTTTCTTGAACTGTAAAATCTATACAGAATTTGGAATTTCTTCTGTGAGTGGGACAACATTACGTATCTTTTGTACACACAAGATACACTTATGATAGTGAATATGATATCTTTTACATAATGTGTATGAGCTTGCCAGCTCTATGACACATGAGCCTCACAACCGATGTGACTAGCAAGGGGGCTTACGGCTAACGTGTCATTGAGCTGACAACTCATTTAGCAAAATGAACTGTCAGCTCATACACATTTTTCCTTATATATATATATATATATATATATATATAATATTATAAGAGAGAGAGAGAGTAGAGAGAGAGAGAGAGAAAATGGTATGCTTGTTACTAAGCATAAATTTTATGCTTGGTAGTGAGTGTCATATTCTCATCCACTCATTCTAATTCCCAACCACTCTCTAACCCATGTAAATGTGAGCACCGATTTCAATGAGTAGAGGAAAATATGTCACCTCACTACCAAGCATACCCATTTTTCTCATATATATATATATATATATATATATATATATATATATATATATATATATATATATATATAGGAAAAGTGAATCTAAGGTGACACCCTAGGCTCTCACCTAAGGACGGCGGCCTAGAATCACATCATTTCCTAAATTTTTTTTGTGATCCCGCTCGTTGAACTTGATCTACACGTTCTTAAACCCAAACACACTAATTTTTGGGGTGAACCCATTATGTTTTGACATTCGTTGAGCCGTGCAAAAAGTTCTATTCATTCGAGCCGTTAAAATTCGCAGGCGAGTGGATAAAGGTCAAACACGACGGTTCACCCAAAATTGTGTGTTTGGGTTTAAGAACGTGTAGATCAAGTTCAACGGAGCGGATCGTAAAAAAAATTAGGAAATGATGTGATTTTAGGCTGTGTCCTTAGGTGGGAGCCTAGGGTGTCACCTTAGATTCATTTTTCTCATATAGTAATATATATATATATATTATATATATATATATATATATATATATATATATATATGACAAATTTTGTGGCTTGGTAGTGAGGTGGCACAATCCCCTCCAGACCATTCAAATGGGGGACCACATTCACATTGGTTGAGGAGTGCATGGGGATATGTAACAATTTGAATGAGTGGAGGGGATTATGCCACCTCACTACCAAGCACATAATTTTTTGTGCTTGGTACAACAAGCATACCCATCTCTCTCTCTCTCTCTCTCTCTCTCTCTCTCATATAATATATATATATAATATATATATATATATATATATATATAATATATATGGCATTCAGAATGATGTTCTCGTCCAACTATATAAAGTGTACAGATTAACACATTTTTCCTTATAACTATATAAAGTGTATATATTAACACATTTTCCCTTTATGCGCACACACACACACGAAAAAGAGTGCGGCATTCAGAATTATGTTCTCTCCAACTGTGTAAAGTGTATATATTAACACTTTGTACTTTTTCTTGCCTTTCATTAGTGAGATGTAATTGTGTATCTTAACACTTTTCCCTGTCTTTGTTTAGGTGCCAAGTCCAGTAGTACTGCAAAACCAAAGGCCAGAAAAACATAATTGCTTCCTAAATAAGGTGATTCTGTAAGATTATCCCTGCTGCATTCTGTTTTCCTTTGGTGTTTAAGTTCATTAACAGTGAATTAAGGGCTGACAACTTGATTAGCTTCTGATTTTATTATGTATATGTGTATCTTTGTATATGCCTGCATATATGTGCAATTGTGAAGAAAGGACAGCTTCAACATGCATTGATCAAGCTAAAAATATCTACAATAAGTACAGAACTTATTCAGCCTTTATCATTAATAGCAATCATCCAACTACTTCTCGTCGCGTCATCTTTAACATTAGTTGCTTCATTGTTCTTATCTTTCTTCTGCTAATTATTATTTCGTTTAGGTTTGTTCGACAACTTGGGTAATCCAATATTCATGTGCTATTTCATCTTACAATAATTGTAGGGCAGATTCTTGTGCTTCGAATTTGACACATGGAGGTTTGATTGTTAGCTTCGTCGCTCCTTTCCTTCGTCTCTCTTTTTAGACAGACCATAAGTTTTAGGATCTGAGACTTTATCAGATCAATAATCAAATCTTTGTCAATCTTTTACTCATTCAGTAAATTTTACTTATAGAAGTAGATTTTCAATAAAAAGTCAGATAAAGCAACATAATAAAAAAAAGGATGGATCTCTATTATTGACCTTGACGTTTACTTTGTCCAAGTCTGCAAAAATAAAATTCATTCATCAATATCAATATTGATGAGGATTGCCATGTGAAATATAACTACTCTGTGACATCTGAAGTACATACGACTACTCTGCTTTGAAAGGATCCAATTAGTGACCAATATTTTTCAAATACAAGTTCTTAACTTTGATGATAAATCTGCAGTTCTTCTCATCCAGAAAACTTCAAGAAGTTTTTTTTTTTCATTAAACACAAAATAGATTGCGCTAAAGGCTTTTATCATTCAACTCAATATAATTTCTTTGAAGAAATTTTCACTGTAGACCATTTTTCATATTTAATCCCTAAAACTGACCCACTTTAAAGTTATTTATGAGAATCGACCCACTTTGAGTTAATTGCGGTACTAATTAGTCAGAGTTGCCAACCCCGACTAATTAGTAGCTTAATTAGCAGCCGCAAACCTTCCCTGCTCCCTGACCTCGCTTGTAATTAAGCTACTAATTAGTCGGGGTGGGCAACCCCGACTATTTAGTACCGCAATTAACTCAAATTGGGTCGATTCTCATAAATAAATTTAAAGTGGGTTGGTTTTAGGGATTAAATCTAGGATTGGGTCTACAGTGAAAATTTCTTCTAATTTTTTTTGCATAAGGTACTCATTTTTTATTTTTATTTTTTTAATTCTCAATGACTTCCCAAGCAAGGGATTTTTTAGTCCATTGTAGGTTAAGAATGCAAGCATTCAAACTTGCAATATAAGAAAATTGATATTATTGTCTTCTCAGTATCCCACTTTTTCATAGTCATCATCATCTTTATCACCTAACACACTTTACGGTGGTCGTCGTCATATTTATCACCTTATCACTAGACTGAGGCTTTGATAGAGAAGATAAAGAAGTTGATACACAAATACAATGCGATTCAACTGATTTAAATCTGAAGAAAAGATGCACCAAACAAATTGTGAGGAATGTAAAGATCAGACTAACTCTCAAATTTGATTCTAAATTTCACCTGCATGAAGGTGGTGATTCGTCTCAATATACGCAGCCTACATTGAAAAATGATTACAATACATGCATAATATCTAACATCTATTACGCATGAAAATTGAAATCTACTGCTTCTGCTTGCTATTTTTCTTGATTCCACGCCAAACAACCAAAGAAAGGGAACCGATATCACTTTTGCCACTCAAAAATATGATATGCCCCTCTTTCTGCTGTTCCTCGAAGTACAAACCAAAAACTATTATCTTTGCTTGAAGACTAATCTAACTCTTACCAGAGTTCAACCAGGATATAAAAACTGACCAATTCATTAACAATAACAAGCTTGATACTGGCATCTATAAGTTACAGAGAACTCCACATACTAGCATTGAAAAAAAACACTGTTCAACTTATTACACCAAACCATGTACAAACCACTCTCTTCTCACAAGTCAGTTTGAACATAACTTCTTTCCTTTACCAGCTCCCACTGTTCTTTCCTTTGTTGCTTCCGTACAGTCGAAAGAGGTTAAAAGCCGAGACACAAGAAAGAGTCACCATACTAAGGCTCACTATGAACGAGCTCACGAGACCCTCTCCTACTTGAGTGCAGAACTTGCCATAGAGATTGCATATCTTCATCCATTGTAGTTGAGGTTGACCGAATTGACCAAGCACTGCTGACTGTGCTGCAGCTGCCACCGCTGCCAAGGTCACATACGCCATCACCTGAGAAAGTGAAATTATTAAGAAAAACGCCATCAATAAATAAAGGAGACTAGGAAATTAAGAGGGTTATAATGGGAAATTAAAGATGCCGAAATGAAGCATTCATATTGTATGGTATACTGTAGAAACCAAGTAAAATAGTGTAATAGGATTGGGAGTAAAAACTTCATGATGGGCCTGAGCTATCATTAATGGTGAAGTACACTTCTAGATGCGACGAAACCCCTTAACTAGATTGAATTACAATTCACACCCTGAACATCTGAGTGTATTGAGATAGATCGATTTGCTTTCTGTGAAGTTTATTTCATGCAGTCAGCCGGTCATGCAGGTATAAACAAGACCTTTCCATTTTCGTGTTTTGAAGGTTTTGGTCTTTGTGACATATCATTTGCATAACACGCACAATTAGATCGATTAATACTTTTTGGGGTATCAAGAAATCCCCATGTCTTTATGAGAGCATAAAGAAGTATGGGTTGTTTTGATTCCCACTTTAGGAGGCACACCAGTACAAAAGCTAATGTCAAAGATACAAGTTGAAAGCAGTCCCCCCCCCCCCCCCCTTCCCTTGTTGTAAGGTATGTTGCTTAATCCGTCTCCAAAACAACTGTGTATGAAGCTAAAGCAACCATATCAAGAGCTAATCAGAATACAACGGCATGTAACAACATCAAAGCTCAGCCACAAATTAATATCACGTGTATAGTGATTATAAATCTGCTCAGGAGAGCTCATAACCAAAAGATATGTGCGACTTAAATGAGACCCTACCTAATCAGTCCCAGAACTGAACCAATCTTGTCCATTTACAGCTTATACAAAGATTCAAATGAAAATGCAAAATTATTTGTATCAAAAATTCCATCCAACTAAAGATATTATTAATTAACACCTTACATCACTTTGATAGAATAACCTCCGATCCAGCTACTATTGAATAACTAGGTCACCAAAATCTATACTTCTATTGATTCAAGAGTAGGGAGTCCTTGATGCATAGACACGGATCAATTAGATGCAATGCAATGGACGGCATCATGTGATGTCGACAAAACATCATATTGGAGGCTTCTTTTATGGGTCCATTTAAGTTCACACTAGCTAAAATAAAGAATGAGACCCTACCATGGGAATGATAATATACGCACTTATACAATCACATTTAAAAGAAATTGTGGGCTCAGATGGGCCGAGAGCGCCCAACTCAGCATGCCATGTAACCGTCGACTGGGAACAAAGTGATGGAAGCCGCACGTCACCCCTTCATTTTCATTCTCACTTTCTATCGTAATAAGAATGTTCCCATAAAATTTTTACCACCAGTGAGGAATATATATTGTCAAAGGACCCAGCCATTGTACCAAAAATCCTAAAAGTCTTAAGTTTATAGTTAAAAAGCATTTTCGTTTAGAGTTCTGCTTTTTAACTCGCGGCCGCCCAACTCGCGGGCAGCTCCCAAGAGCGAAAACAGGGGGTGGGCCAACAGTACTAAGTTTTAAAAATCCGCTTAGAAATTCATGGCAAGTACAAACTTGGACTCAAACAACAGTACTAAGTTTTAAAAATCCGCTTAGAAATTCATGGCAAGTACGATTTGACTCCGGATTGCTCTGATCCCACTATACTAAAAATTGGATCCGGATTCTCTCCTAAATGAGAGGTTCCTAATATCTCCTAATGAGATCTTGGCCTTTGATTTATCAATAAAGATCAAGATTTCCTCATGCACAAAAGTAGGAGGGAGATAAGGATAAGATCTTGGCCTTTGATTGATAAATCAAAGGCTAAGATCTTCTTATTAGGAGATATTAGGAGAGGATTCATTAGGAGAGGATCAAAATTCCTAAAAATTCAAGGTTGTGGTGAGGGTTGATAGTTATAATAATATTAAATTTCTGGTTGAACAAAGTTTGAGAAATTATCTCGATCCATACCCATACGTAGTTGTGCACCAAGAGAAGAAATTATCTAGAGGTTTGTTACCTGACAAACTTAATAGGCTGGTAAATCTTATAGTCTATACAATTTAGGCTTATGCAAAAGAAAAAAAAAGATAATTTTGTCCAAAATCATCAGTGACTGAAAACCTTGTCTCCTAATACTCTCCAGAACCTGCATCAATATGTCCTGTCCTAGCATTCTCCAGAACAGCCATTAGAAAAATTCTAAACCCCTTTTGTCTCCATCCAAAATAACACATTTTTAAAGATTCACACCAAAAAAAAAACTAATAATAATGAGAAAACAAAACAAAATCAAGGGGAAAAAATTTACCATCTTCTCACCTGATCAAAGGAGAAAATAGCCCAAGCCAAGCCCTTGCTAAAAAGAACACTGCCCCTCACCATGCTCACCACACAGCGCAATCCCTGTATCAAACTATACCCTGCTGCTATCCCATTTGCTATCACCAAAAACCTAAATAAAAATAAAATCGAAATCGAAATAAAAACAAAATAACCAGAAAATAGGAAAATAAAGAACTTGGGTAAGTCACAAAGATCAGAAGACGTACACCAAAGCTTTCATGTCAGTGAACTTGGCCTTCTTCTCAACGGTGAAGATGACCCTCACTTGGGAGTCCAAGCCCACGAGAGCAGCAGCAAGAACTCCAAGCCCAACTATCACAAATCTTAGTGCCAACTCAATCACCTTCAACTTTTTTTCTATCGACTTAATCTTGCCACCACCATAATAAACAGGCACATTCCCTGGACTAATCCCTTCCCTCATCATCTCCCCCCAAAAAAGGGGAAAATAAAAATTAAAATAAAACTCTCTTATTACGATGCAAGTAGAGAATGAGAAGTAAGAACCAAGTGAGAGCTGGGTGATTATTTATAGTCAAAAGAGAGGATGGCTAGG